CTAAGCTCGTGCCAGGCCTCGGCCTTGTCCTTTCATTTCACCAAGATTCTCTGAGTCAAACTGGTTCTTTCTCATCAACCAACTTCAGCAATATCTTGGGCCTTAAGATTGCATCAGGAATCTCTTTCAGACAGTCGAGACTCGCAAGTATCAAACTTAGTCTTATTAATTGATACATTAAGTATCAGTTACTCCTTTTTACGAAGGTGTGTTTGAACTAAGAATCTGACGCTTCCCTTAGGTGTAGATCTGCTGAATATGCAAATGGTTTCATTAAATGTCATTCCTTATGTCTCTTTCTGTACTGAGTTAAGCTTTAACCCTTTCCTATACCAACTGTATGCGTGTGTGTGTATGTGTATGTGTATGTTAGACCAGTTTAGGTGTTTATGTAGGATGTTAGACCAGTTTATGTGTTTATGTAGTATGTTAGACTAGTTTAAGCGTTTATGTAGTTAATAAAACCTTACTTGTATCACACTTGATGTGGTTCATTGTTTGCTTATAACTGGAGTCACTTAATCATGCAGATTTATGCTACAAGCTTTTGTAGAATTGTACAGTAAGAAAGTTATTTCCCTTAACCAGGAAATTAACATTCTTAGAATTGACAAGACAGTTGACCCTGAGAGGTCAGCTAAATATCTACAGCGGATCTAAAATATTCATAATTAATTATAACTAGTTATGGTTAATTATTCATATTTCCCATGAGCTGATTCGTTACAGCAGTTTATTTGCTATTAGCATTATGAAAAGATTTGTAGATTTAGTGTCTTGTAAAATAACAAGCAATAAACCTCATTTAAATGAATGTTTTATTATTTGTATGATTATTATATATATTTTTTTACTTATTATTTATTTATTTTTGATGAACAACATTAACATGAAAGTTATTTACTTTTCATGCATACATTTTTGTGTATTAAATGAAGACTATACGGATTAAGTAAAATAGATAAATCAATCTATTTTCCTGTCACAGAACTATTAGACATATTTTTGATTAATATAGTAAAAGTAAAAGACATTTAAATAATGAAAGGCTGATTTAACTGAACAACATTTCTAGAATCACAATGCAGTATTTGTCAAACTCTTTAACATTTTTTTAATCTAAAAACTTTTGAAGTAACACTACATTAGATATTATGCTAACTTAACATACATTCATTAATTATGAAGATCTAAAGAAGTAACACCACATATGGATACTTTAACTTGAATATACATTGATTAATTAGTCGATCAAATGTCTGCAATAAAATTTGTGAATTGTCCAGCAAAGGCAAAACAATATAACTGCTTATTTAAATGTAAGTTTTAAATCTTTGAACAATGGCAACAACACTAGCCCAAAAAGTCAGACATCCAGTCATTTTCAGGCTTTTGGGGCAGCACAGCATTTGTATCAGTGTCTGTTGGATCAAGTAGGGTGGAAGTGTCCTGTGCTGGCTCTGGAGATAAGCCAGGAATGGATGAGAATATGTCATCTGGAAAGAAGTTGCTTGCTTTTGTCTCTGCAGCCTCACCTTGACTCTCTAACCCAGTGAAATCATCAAATGGGTTTGCTGTTCTTTCCACACTGAATGTATTTGTGCTTGTGCTGTCAATAACACTTGCAAAGATGTCATTTGGGAAAGGATCAGCACTCATGTGACCGAATGCAGCTGTAGATGGAACATTCTCAGAGCTGAAGAAATCTAAAGCTTCCACTTGAGATGACTCAATTAGCTCTTTGCCAGAAAGGTTTTGATCAGGCACATTAGAGGTTGATTGATTGCCTTTACTATTGAAAATATTATTAACCTCACTTTGAATTAGATTTGCCTGTTCAAGGTCAGGGCTTTTCTGTTCAAACACATATGAAGTACCTGATAGTGTTGATGGGTCACCTTCAGAACTTATCAAGTCAAAAACTTCATTTGGTGTCAGTTGACCATCTGTGATTCCCTCAAAAGGGTTTTGACTTTGACTCTCGCAGTTTGTCATAATATCAAAAAAATTATTATTGGACGTTAGAGTAGAGACAGTGAGAATTTTGTCTCCTCCAAAGATATCCATTGTTTGGACTTGTACATTGTTCATACCAAAGGGATCGTCAGTCATTTCTGAGGAAACACCGGCTTCATTTTTATTGACTTCAGTCAGGGTGTTTCCAAAACCATCTGAGTTTACCTCAATATTTGACTCTGACGAACCAAGAATATCGAGAGTGGTTTGACTGAGATTTGTAGAAGGGCTTAATGTTGTATCTTCACTTTCTTCTTGAGCTCCAAATGGGTCTTCTTGAATAAAGGAGCTCGCTATATCTACTAATGGAGTTTCCACTGATGGTGTTTCCAAATCCATAATGTCTGTCAATTTGCCACTGTGTGTATAATCAAGTATATTTGAACCTGAAAAAGCCACAACATCTGTGTTCGAGTTTGTTACTTGAGATGTAAATGCATCAGATGAATCAAGAAAACCAGTTGTATCTTCATTCTGAGGCAAAGAGGAGTTGAGGCTCTCTTCAAGACCTGATGGTTTTGAAGAGTCTGGAGAGGTGAGATCTACATGAATGTGTTCTTGTGAAGGAATAAGAGCCTCATTTCTATCAATCTCCCAAAGACCACCAGAAGCGGGCTTGTGTTGTTCAATTGACTCGAGATCTGTTAATGGCACCGTGTCATCAGCAGAGTTTCCATTAAGCAATAAAATGTGATTTTCAAGGCCCTCTGTTGGATTAAGTTCTTCTGCAGCATCACTTAGTTGGTTTTCTGTTGGTTTTCTGGGCTCATGAGGTGTATTTTGAAAGGAGGGCTCAGTCAGAGGAAGAGATACAGAAACATTTTTTTGAATCAATGCAGTGTCATATTCTGTCCCTTCAGTTGTCTCTGGCTCTTTCTCACATGTAGTTTCTATTTTGATATCTGGTGTTTTCTTTATTTCTGACTCTGTTTCAGAGGATGAAAAGAGTCTGCCCAGTAAATTTCTAGGTTTTATACCGGATCTTTTGCTTTCCGTTTTTGTCTCACTTTTGTTCTCTTTCCTAATTGGACCAGATGTGAAGAGTTTGGAAAGAGGGCTTTTACCTTTAGACCAAGACCCTTTATTCCCTTTATCCATGGCCATTTTGTCAGCAACCTTTGTGTTGCTTTTATTATCAGATTTTGGAGGCATATCCAACATGTCATGGTCTTTAGATTCAACCTTAATAATATCTTGATTTTTGGCGGTTACAACCTTGGCATTACTCTCAATAACCACCTCTTTCTTAATCTCTGCAACTAGCTCCAAATCACATGATTCACTACCTGGTTTGAATGTTTCTTTACCACATGCTGTGATTTCAGTTACCCGCAGTTCATAAAGATTCAGGAGTGTTTCCATCTCACTCGTATTTGCCTCATCTGCCTTTGTTTTTTCATCCAAATTGCTTTGCAAAGACAAGACATTTTCCTGTATTCCTATATTTGGAAGAAAAGTATCCTGCATTTGTCCGTCTAAATCTTTGGGATGTTCATGGCCAGATGAATTGTACATTGTGTCAATTAAACATTCCACAGGTGATTCCTCTATTTCTATTCCTGATTCAAAAGTTGTAATTTCTCTCTCTGCTGTCTTTACATTACCATTGACAACTGTATGTTCAACAAAAGCCTCAGTAGAGCTTTCAGCTCCTTCACTGGTGATCTCTGTGTTATCTTCCTTGTCTATATTTAAATTTGAATTAAACTGGACAGACTTTTTTATTTTCGTTGGGCTATCAACTTTCCCATCTTCAGCCAAACTGTGTTCTCTCACAGAATCTGGTCTCGAGGTCACAGAATTGAAGTCTTTGCTTGTCACTTCCCCATCTTTTGAAACCTTGCTTTGTGTTCCAGATCTATCTGCAGTCTTCTGTAATGTTTTTGAACCTCTTGGATGAGGTGTATAAACATCCCCTGAATGTAGTGTTTTAAACCCACCTTTTATTGTTAAGGGAGAGGCGTATGTGTTTGTCTTCTCATAAATCTGAGCTGACAGCTCAACTGATTTGTCCATTTCATCCAGCCCAGAATTAAACCTTTTCTGTTCAGGAGCATTTCTGGAGCTTCTCGCAGAAGAGTGGTTGTGATTTGACCAGTCTGTTGTACTTATTGAGGCTGAGGAAGTATTTTGTGATACAGGGCTATGTCTGGTCCTCTTGTTTTCCGGTGGCCAGCTAATTCTAAGCTTGTTCCTGGTGTCAGGACTTTTGAATTGATCATCACTGTGTCTTTGCCGTCGAGATGATGGTCCTCTGGGGTCATCTACAATTGCATCAACACATGTAGGCTCTGTTTTACGCGCTGAGCTCAGCTTGTTAATAGGTTTAGGATCCTCTGTTTTAGCAAGCCAGCGGTCTTTGTGTTGTCTGTGGCCAAAACCCTCATCATAGTTGCCCTTTTTCTTAAATAACTGATGGTAATGTGATGGGCAGTAGAACTCTCCATAAAGAGCAGAGTAATTGTGAATGCTGTAATGAATAATAGTACACCAGTGAAGATTCAAAGTTAAAGTATATACTGTGAAATAAAATTCCCAGGGAATCAAGTGTTATCATATTTGATTTGTGATTGGATGAACTCAATTAAAAATGCAATGTGAATTTGATTATATAGATTGTATTTGATCAGATATATTTTGAATACACATTTCCACATGTATTGTCATTATGAATCACAGGTTTGCACCAGGATTACACTAAAAACTTTTAACTGATTTGCCTTCTAATGTCTAGGAAATTGATTTCAGAATTTCACAATGGACAATTGGGATCTCGCTCTCACCTCAGCTTTTTATTACAGTGTTTGCAGCAGAAACAGTTACTATGTAGGATTAGTTTATCTGCCACCATTTTCTCCATTGGGTAAACAGGCATCAGGCACGCAGAGCACATCTGTTTAGCAGGTGACAGGAACTATGACAACAATATAGACATACATGGAATATGAGTTTATGTATGATATACACAGCATGAAGATCCTCCTATGGAAAAAAAATCTAAATTGTTATAGCATGCTGTTTTAGAGAAACAATATAATAATAATTTAAAGTTTTGTCTTCCTGGTAATAAAATAATTATAACAAATACTGCTTTGTAAGTATAGATAATTTTAATATACAGCATTTGAAACAAATATTTAAGATGAACACTTTTATTAACACTTAATTGCAACAGTGCAAAAACCCTTGCTTTTAAAGCATCACAATAAAACTTTTTATTGTACACACATATAAAATGAGGACCAATACAACAAACATATATGTAGTTTAATTAGAAATATGGAACTAAAAATCAACCAAAAATGCTACAAAACGAAATGGGCAGCCAGGTTAATGTTATTCTGTGTTGGGATGACCGAAAGTAACAAACACTTTTCTGTCTTTGTTTTTAGACAGAGAATTTGAGGAGAAGGTCTGGCCAGACCGTTGTGAAACAGGTGAAGCCATTTCTTCATATCTCCCTGGATTTGTAATTACATCATATGAGGCAGATAATCCACTCTCGGACTGCCTGGTAACAAATGTAGATCTTTTGGAAGAGAGGTAAGTATTCCCAAAGCAGTATATCTCTTCATATTTCTCACTGACAGTTTTAGTGCCAATGATTCCACTTGCAACCTCAGGAACTCGCTGTGCTTCAAGAATGCTGACTTTCCTTCTAGGACTTGGAGGACTACAAACATGGCTGGCTGAGCTTTTCTCAGGGGAGGATGGTTTGAAAGTGCTACCTGCATTAGGTTGGTCATTTGCTTTTGGTTTGTCTGAGTGAGGCTGTAGGGATGTGGGTGACTCCACAGGTTTTCTTGCGGCAGAATGAATGGAAATAAATGAAGGCGAGCAGGGGGCGTTTGAGCATGGTTTGCCCACTTGAACTTGATGAACTTGATGTTGATGTGGTACCTCTTTGGGCAGACACCTGTTATCAGTGCCCTGTACCTGTTTAGATTGCACAGGTTTTGCTTTGCTGGACACAATGCTAATTTTCCTAAGGTTTTTATTATTTGGAGAGACATTGTCAGCATTTAAGGATTCACTAAACAGACCTGACAACTCTGCAATGTCTGCCTCAGACTTTAAATTTGAGACCGAGTACAGAGCTTTTTTTATCGCCTCCTCTATTTCCGAGAGTTTAGCTAATGTCTGTTCTTTCAAATTGATGATGTCCATGCTTGCTTTCTCTAGGTCCTCAAATGCAGACTCAACAGAGGATATGCTCTCTACATCATCTCTTAAGCCCTCTGTCCCTGTGCCAGCTCTTGGACAATGTTTCATATTTTTTATTGGTTTGCTAATCCAAACAGGCACATTCTCAAACAAAGTCTTTAGAGATTTAACATCCACCTCACAAGTTTCCCCCTCTATTTCTTGAACTTTTGACAAAATGATCTTCAGCTCTTCACATCTCATAAGGTTTTCAAAGATCTCCATGGCTGCTTTTACGTTGCCCCTCATGATCTCGTCTTTGTGGACGGAGAGTCTCTGGCGGCGCTCATCTTCTGTCTCTCTCCTTGCTTTCTTTTCTCT